GTACAATAAACCCCCCCCTCCCCCCGCTGCTGTAAATCAATTCCCTCCATCGCCACCGCAGCGGCCCTTGTACTCATCCCGCCTCGACAAGGCGAGCGATCGGGGGTTAATGGAGCGGGACCCCCCCTTCTTAACCTTGGAGGCGGGCCTCTTCAGGTGCCGTGGAGAGGGGGGGGGGGGTTAAATGTCTTTTTATCTGCACGGTGCAACGAGCAGTTGGGCCCGCCCCCTGACGCCCGTCCATCAACTCGCCGTCCAATCGAGATCAATAACCACGTCCGTTGTGCCCCGGCCACCGCGACCTCTGCACCTCCAAATGAGCTCCCACGGCGCCCACAGAGCGGATGCGTGGAAGCGCATTTCTTCTAAGGACGAGTCTGTGGCAGATCGGCCCTCGGTGACGCCATCTCGTCAATACGGATTCGTCGATACGGATTTGATCCCGGCGAGCAGCAGGAAGCCCGCCGTCTTTCCCCGAACCTGCACCGCTCCGCACGCCGCTTCCAACGAGGCCGTTCTCACTTCCTATACCAGTAACATCTTTTGTTATTTAGCGTTTGCAGTAAATTTGTTAGATAACCTTCCCACGCGGCGGAGTTCCCTGCATACGGAGGTAGAACATAAACGCAGAGTTATAGAGCCGCCCCCTTTGGATGGATTTAGGCACTGAGGTGTTTTACCACCACAGGGATCAGATCTACAGATAAACGAGCTCAGGCCGCGCTAAACCTTCTGAACGCGCCGTCTTTACTCACTTTGATTGTCGTTTTGTTGAGTGAGTGGAGCTCCCACCTAAAAAAAAAAAAAAAAAAGAGGATCCACTGATTGGTGCAGGAAGTATATGTGGTACCTTCCTGTTATATGAAGCCATCTGATGTGCCTTTTAAAAAGGAAAGAAAAGGCGACGAGTGAACACGGAGAGACGAGATGAGAACAACGAGCCTTCGGTGGAATTAATTAACCGATCTAAAAGGGCTTCATCAGAGATGTAATGGGGGACCAAATTGATTTACAAAGTGCGCTCTTATGACTGACGTGCTCCTATTGGTTTCGATTGTTTTCCGAGTGCTAACACGTTACCAATGGGCCCCCCCCCCGTGTAAGAGGAGAGACCCCCACCCCCCCTGCATCCCTCCATATTACTCCACGTCACAGCGATTTCTGTCCGGGGCCTCGCGGGCGTGAGCGGAGAGGCTGCGGCGGGTTAACGAGAAGTCGGGAAGCCCCGTCTAGTGTGCAGTTCATAATCTCGCTCTTCCGGGGGTGTTGGTTTAATTTTTTCGGGAGGGGGGGGGGGGGGGGTAGTAATGTGTCCTTAACCGATGGGAGAGTGTTTTTTTTTTTTCTACCGACTCCACAAATGTTTGCCTTTGGTTTAGTTCAGTTATACTTTTGTTATTTCTTTTATTTGATTAAGTTGGGCGCTCACAGAGAGGATACTTTGTACTTCTGTGTTGTTCTTCTGCTCCACATATCTGGAACAAACTCTCAGAAAGCTGCAGGTCTGCTGAGACTCTCAGCGGCTTCAAATTAAGACTGAAGACGTTTCTCTGCAGCTGCCTTTAATTGAACCAGATTCAAGGAGGAGGCTGCTGCTTCCGACCGTTTATTTCATTAACTATTGTTCCAATGTCTGTTTTGACTTTCTTTTTTCTTTTTTGGATTCCCTCTTTCTTTTGATGCTTTTACTGGTTGTATCTGTGCGATCTCCAAATGAATTTGCCTTTCCCGACCGTAGGGAGCCGTGGTGGTTTTTGTACCAACGGACCATAAACACACAGACGCGATTGACACTCTGCCACCTTTAATCGGTGTTCAAACCGGCCCTCGCGCTCTGGTTCTGGCACCGTGCGTGTACGTGTGTACGTGTGTGTGTGTTCAGTCCTCCATCTGTCTGCGTATTCACCCACCTGTGCTTGTATGAATCTGCCGCGTGATTGTAGAACACTTGCTTTTCCCCGGCCGCCGCCTGCTCCGTTCCAGGAGCCGAGTTGTACTTGTCGGATAGCCCCTCTGCCGTCACGGGGGGGGGTGTAGCTACCCGTCGCCAGCAGCGCACCGCTGTCAGGATTTGGGAGCAGCGAGGTGTTGCTCCTCGAGGACGCCTGACATCGGGTGTCCAGGTTTCACTCGCTGTTAAAAGGCACAGCGGCTGGTGTGTTGGAAAGTCATCGTTTCCGGTGTCAAATTCTTTCTCTTTTTACAGCAGGTTTGTTGGGAGGAATCCGTCGAGGACGCTGTGTTGTTGATGATAGATGGCAAGATAAAACCAGCGGGGAGATAAATGTGCAGGAGGCCGAAAGCGAAAGAGGGAGAGGAGAGGAGAACCTATTTTTGAACTCGAAATGGGATCAGGCCTCCACCTTACCACACCCGGTGGAGCACTTCTACCCCGCCGTGTGCGTCGATAGGGGCCACGCACCATCACATACCCCCCGCCCCCAATGGACTCGCTCTTGTGTGTTTTGTCATTCAGGAGTTGTGAAGGTCAACCCGACCTGCCATCTCTCTCAGCTCCATTATTAGGACTTGTTGTCCTCTCAGCCCGAGCTTAATGGCCTGCCGCTTTTCCCTTTTCCCCGTCTTTCCGTCTCTCTCTCGCGCTCTCTCTCTCTCTCTCGCTCTCTGTTTGTCTCTGGCAGCTCGGTGGCTCCAGCGTCTGGCTGCGGTTGCAGAGCAGAAGCAGCAGTCACATACCTGCATTCAAGTGGAACAAACAGGATGGTTGGCTGCTCACGGAAGGTCATCAGCTCCGGGCACAGCGGTTTTGTGTGTGTGTGTGTGTGTGGGCGCGTGTGCTTGTCTGTGCATTTATTTCTGCTTCAAAGAGAGGCGCTAACACGGGAGGCAATAGTCAATTGACAGTGTCAATGTTTACGGTGACAACGTGTAAACCAGATTAAACTCATTGATTAACGTTAATTATACCACATAGCAGAACTACTTCAAACGTTGTTTCTGGCAGCCTCTCTTCTGGAACCCGTATCAGCGCTCCGTTTGGGCCTATTACGCCTTTGGGAATGATGAATGGTTAAAAAAAAAAAAAAAAAAGGCTTGCAGAACTCATATGAGCGGACAAAACCGCGAGGCCCTTTTTTCTGCTTGTGGATGCACCGTCAGACATCGGTCACAAAGCCAGAGGTCAAAGCGGGAGCCCCGTGGCGCGGCGAGCCCACTTCGCCGTCGCCCTAAAGGTGCCACATCCAGGGCCCGGCAGTCTAATAAAAGGTGACACGCTAATCTTTGCCTTCCCTAATTGCCGCTGCCGAGTCTGATTAAAAGTCGAGCGGTGGCGGCTCAATTGCAATGCGGCGAACGTGCTCGCGCGGCCGCCGCTTGTGGCCGCGCGTATAGCGTGCGCACGCGGCTGTGTGTGCGAGCGGGTGTGTTGGTAATGCGCCCGCCCGTCCCAACGCCACGCAAAAAAAAAAGAAGAAAAGATTCCGCTTGATCTAGAGGGTTTACGAAGCGTGGATGCGTTTTCGGTCTTCATTAACCTTCCTCGCCCTCAATCCCCTGAAACGCTACCCCCCCCTCCTCCTTACGCCCTGTTTCCCTTCACTCCTTTAGCTCTTTTCCTTCCCTCCTTCTTGCAGCGTTTGTGGGATGAGTGATTGAATGTAATTGGCTAGTGTGACCCTGTCTTTTGTTAGGGGGGCGGGCAGGGCAGCAGAACTCAGCTCTTGTTTCATGGGTAACAGTTGGGAGACGTTCCTCCAGGGTGACGGGTGGTCTTGTTGGGTTTTTTTTTTACCTTCAAATGTCACTTAACAAATGTTTCCGTCGACACACACACACACACACGTAAAAAGAATAATCTGAGCATTTTCAAGGGCCAGCTTATGTTAAATGACTTTTTTGCTACCTCTGGAGAATGATAAATAAGGCTATAACCCGCGGTGGAGTTTTCAGGGGAGGGAAGGCAGTGTTTACAAGTCTCCCATTAAGAGATGGTATCTCATTGGCTTCGCCGTATCCATCCAGTTAAATAATTGGACAAAACCAGATTGTTTATTACCCCTGCGCGGGGGGAAAAAAAAGAGCACTTGTGTCCCCCCCCCCCCCCCCCCTTCTGTAACCTTTAGAAGTAAACACTTCCCAAATAGCCTGGAGAAAGAAGTGGTAACAAGCTGTGCTGCTGCTGCAGCACAAGAAGTTGGAGCACTGTGAAGCTCGGTTGCACTTTTTGACTTTTGAGTTCTCCGCCCATCTTCACGCCCCGTGTCTCCCCCCTCCCTCCCCCATCTCCTTCACTCCCCTTCATCTGCAGGGAGTTGATTAGCTCGCTGTTATCCTGACCGTCCGGTGTTGGTGCACGTGCTTGATTCTGAACATGAAGCTGTACACAAACACCGCGCGTCAAGAGTCAAGACAACCGCGCTTTCTCTGTGCTGCGCACACACACACACACACACACACACACACACACACACACACACACACACACACTGACATCCATGCAGTTTGATATGTGGCCCAAAGCAAAGCACTTCTCCCTAATGAGACTCCTGCCCTCCATTTCTCCTGGGGAGCCGAAAGGGAAGTAACCTTGATGCAGCTGAACACACCTACACACACACACACACACACACACACACACACACACACACACACTACCTACTTGTGAGGAACCTCATGTCTATATTATTTCACAAATATCACAAACATTACATGGACTAACCTCAATTCTAAAGTTGACCCAGTTCTTACTTTGACCAAAAAGTGAACCCTAAAAAAATGCCACGTGAAGAAGTGAAGAACAGCTCAATGTCCTCGCGTTGCAGAACTTCAGTTGAGTTGAGCCCCACGCATGGAAACTCCCGGAGGCCGTCTGAGACGTCATGCGTCGACCTGCTAATCCCGCGTGCCGCGTTCTCTTCTCTCGCTGTGTGAACCGCTGTCACGTCTCCATTACTATTCTCCGCATTCACGCAGAGGATAAACTAAAGTGTTTTCATATTGTAGCTGCCGTCACTGACCTCCCCGTGTGTCTCTTGTAGATCTGGGCCAATTACGAGGAGAAACCCGTGGAGGAGGTGGTGCACGTGAAGGAGGCGAAGGAACGAGTGGCCAACTACAAACCAGTCTACGTCACCGAAATCTGCGACACCCTGCACTTCTACACCCAGGACGTAGAGACAGGTATGTCCCCGGACCGCTGGACAATATCACTCATTCAAAATGGGTAATGGCAAAACTTGGAAACGGAAATTGCTGCGTAAACGCGTCGTGTCAACACATCCTCCCATTCAATCATCCTACATCGAGGGGCCCCCGCTCGCCCCGCCGGCTTTGCGCGTGCCAATTATCTCTTCCCCTCTGACACCCGGCTACACCCTCGCTGCAGCACCCCTCCTTCCATCGGGAGGCCCAACAGGGGGACGTCGCGCTGGTTATTACCACCGAATGACGGGAATAAATCACCCTCTCGTCTCCAACGATTGGGGAAGGGAGAGGAGAAGTTTGAAGATGGGAAAACTAACAATCCTTAGTATTCTTACATGGCTGCTGCCTCTGAAAGGTGGTGTGCGTGTGTGTGCATATCGTACTATACGTGTGTGTGTGTGTGTGTGTGCATGACTGAATGCACACATAATGCCCCCCTCTATTCTATTCTGGGCCCCGTCTTTCAGGTGGTAAACTTAATAGGGCATCAAAAACAAGAAGTGTGTGTGTGTGTGTCTCCGTGTTCAAGCACATGTGCGTGATTGCAGCAGTTTGTGGTCAGCAAGTTGTCCTCCGTAGCAACCCGTAGCTAAGCAACGCTTTTGCTATTATTGTCTCCACAGTCAATATCTCAAGGTCCACACAGTGATGGAATGGGTTTCTCTCTTTTTTCAGAGCAATGTGGTATAGCCACAAAACAGCCGTTTGGCAGCTCTTTCTTAATTATGCTTTTGATCCTTTGGTTGAAGTGCTAATACTTCTTTAATCTGTCCTGGACACCTCGGATTTCACGACTCCATCAATCGTACCCGAGCTGGAGCCGAGCGGAAGCCAACGCGCCGCGCAGGCGTCCCTTCATCGCGTGCCAGCCCGTGCGCGGGGAGCGGCATGGCGTGCGGAGGTCTTCCTCCTGCTCGCAGCCGGCCCGCACATCTGGCTCCACTGGCAGTCGACGGTCGGGAGTCCGTGAAATCGCCTTTGGCCGCCTCCTACATTTCCTCACTGCTGTAATTAATAAATTTGCCTTCATTTACTGCCAGTCTGAGCCTAATTATCAATCGCAGCATGATAATCCGGGTCCCCCTCACCAGCGTTGAAAGCTTTTGGCCTCCTCAATTGTTCTTTTTCCAGGTGCACAAAGAATCTGCTCTCCATCTCGTCGCCACGAGCGAGATCGAAAGGCTTCCCACCTCCTCTGGCTATTTCAGCCTCGCGCCTCCTCAGGTGCAGGAGTGCGATGTTCAGGTTCAGGTGCACGGTGTTCTCACATGTGAAACACGCCGCATGCTAACCCGAGGCCTTCAGCATCAGTGAGGGAAGACGTACAGCCGTTAATGGGTTCCTTAGCGCGTCTCTTTTCTACATCCCTTCATGAATTTGCTGTGAGCAACTCGAGTGTTGTTGTAGGTCGCAGATAAATTGTACACAAATTGCATTTTCCTATACTGCTGGTCTCAGTGTATTTTGACAGGCGAGCAGTGAGTTATTTAATATCTTCTCTTGATTTTTAGATGATCCAGCAATGCTGGAGCCTTTTTTTATATTTATTTTCTTCCCCCCTTTAATTGGTCTTCTTCCACCAAGAGGTCTTACATGCTAGTTAAAAAAAAAAGTGTTATTCTCAGCAGGGAGGCAACCTGACCAGGCCTCACTCCTGCCTCCTCCTCCTCCTCCTCCTCACACTCCACATCACGTTGTTTTTCTCCTCCCCGCCTTCCTCCATCTATTTTTCTTCCCTGGCCTTTCATTTTCGCTGACGCTTCCTCAAAGCTACATTAAGTCATACCAACCCCTTGAAGAGCACATCAAAGTGTTAGGCCCTGTAAAATCATACAAGCTGAGTGCTTTGCAGTATCATTACATGTCCCCCCCCCCCCCCCCTCTCTCTCTCTCTCTCGCTTTCCATCTTCCCTTTTCCACTCGATATCTGAAGTGAAGGAATTTATATACTCGCATAAGCTTGAAAGCAGCGTCTGGCTTTCATTAGTGTGACTGCGGCTGATTACGACACCACACTCTGCATTAACGACGGAGGGGGTTAAAACGTGTTGATGTTCCAAACCATGTGAAATTTAGCTCCACGAGTTCCGCCGCCTCCCTTCGTCAAGACCAATTAACCGCTAACCAATGTATTTCTTTCACGGAATTGATTTTTGGAACAAAATCCACCGCTGCAGTTTAGCGCGACGAGCTGATGCAGCCCGTGAGGTCGCGTCAGGCCTCGGCGCACGCCGAAAAACAGGACACAGAGTCGCTCTGCGAACGTGTGATGGAAGACTGGTGTCTGCACGGAGAACCACGACTGATGCAAGATGACCTTAACATTGACACAGGCATCCGCGCTTTGAGGGGGATGACAGCCGATCGCGGAGGCGCAGTGTGGCACGATGGGAGAGGTTGTGAATATCACACGGTGAGTCTGAGAACAACAGCTGCAGAATAAACAACAACCTTTAAATGTTGATCCAAGTCATTGAGCGCAACGTGAGGCAACGTGTCCATTTTCTCGGTCACGCGGTTTGTTCCTTTGAGTCGAGGGCAGTGGCGAGTGAAGGCGAGGGATCACGCGTGTTATGATCTCTGTGATCGTCTAAATAACGGCGTGCTAAGTGTTTGGCGGGAAAGAGAAATGCTTGTTTGTGATATTGTTCGCTCTCCTGGGGTCCTTTCCCCGTTTGATCTATCCCCATTTAATTACTCCTAAGTGCAGCTTTTGCCCCCCTCCCCACACACACATATGGATATCTTTACCCGAGCTTGTGATGAGTGATTCATTTCACATTAGGTGTTTTTTTATTTTTTCTCAAGTCACTGAGAAGCTTGGGGGATTGCGCTCTTTAATCCTCGGTTTATTTTGAGGGTCTTTATCTGTTGCTGTGCGCGTTTTATCTCCCTTTTGTCTCCCTTTCCTCCCCGCGCTCGCCGGTAACGCTTCCCTCTCTCTTCTCTCCCTATTTTCCCCGTGCTTGTCGCGGTCTCTCTGGAGGCGATGTGTAATTACTGTCTGAGGGGGCGGACCACCATAGATCTGTGTGACCTTGGACACCAGAAGACCGAGGCCGCTCGGGGCCCGAGGGGGACCAGTGACTCTGTGCTGCACACGATTGATGCTCTCATGAGTCAGCAAAATTTGAAAAATATATATATATATAAAAAAAAAAAAATGTTGAAGCCCTGGAGACTTCATGGGTGTGTTGCCACCACACGCCATTTTATTTTTTTTATTTTTTATCAAAGACATAAAGTAAAGGAGTATTCGTTTCGCCTCTACTCCGCGGGCCGTCATGGCCGACAAAGCGGGTCACGTGGTCGCTCTTATCGGCCCCGGCCGAAAAACACACACACGCGCACACACATCTCTACCCGCCTGCAGCTGCGGCGCGGTCGGCGGTACATCCTGTCTGGTGCGTGTTTCCTGGCACACGCGCAGACTGGTAATGAGTGGAATCGTTCCCCCTCAACCAGGTGCCACTCCGTCCACATTATTCACACGTCTACCTTTTACACACAGCAGCTGTTCATCACCTAATGATGGCGGGCAGGCGGGGAGCTGTTCGCTCTTTCTCTCTCTCCTGGCCGCACTTCAAACCCGGCCCTTTGCCGCCTTCGGGAGTGGAATTTCATTACTTTGAAATGTTACGTTTCAATCTTATTGATTCACGAGCTGTTTTTTTTCTTCTTCTTCTTTTTTTTCCTACCGGCTCATTTTCTCGACATTACCACGACATCTTCGGCCGACGCGTCCTCCCACTGGCAATCGCGCGGCATCTTCCTCCTCGAGTGGAACTTCTATAATAAGTGGCGGCGAGTTGCCACGGCAACGCAGTTTCTATTTCCATAAGAGGACATTTAGAATTACCGTAGCATTTCATATTGATCAGGATGAGTGGCCCGCTAATTGGATGTCATGTCAAGGCAGCCAAGTGATAGAGCTTAAAAAAAAACAAGGGTGCACATGTTTTCTTCTTCTGGGTGAAATATCTTCCTGTGGAAAGTCAGTGAGTCGGGTTGAGATGATTATCTCTTACGCCACCGCGTTTTTAACTTTATTTCCAAGAGCATTTAAGGAAGAAGTTAGTTCATGAACAGTCTAATTAAAACGAAGAATCCAAACAAATTGTGATATGAAAGAAACAAAACAAACCCAACAAAAAAAAAACACAGCAACATTGTTAGTTTTAACGATTGTGTTCAATTGTTAAATGGCTTCATGGAATTAGGGCAGAACGGCTGTAGTGCATCTGTCTCGATGTATTCCTGAGTAAACGTGTTCCCTGTGATCTATTCGTTGACGCCTGCAACGACAAAAAAAAGAAAGCGGGCGAATGCAGGTTGAAGCTGTTGCCCCTTTTTCTCAGAGGCAATATTCCGAGCCCCCGCTCCGATGATCTCCCCTCTCCGAAGGCGTTGATTATTTAATCAGAATATATACAACTCGCCTTAAGGTCAGCTCACCCGTCGGTGTGAGACAGGGACGCTCTGATTCCCGTCGTCTCCGTCCTTGTTCTTCACCATCGGCCGCACGCATGATTTGCATTGATGTCGACTTCGGGCTCTATTACCCAAAGCCGAATGGCTGAAATGGCACTTTTCCCTCAGCGGGGATCCACTTACGGGCTCCAAATGTGGTTCTCGCGCTCCCCTCTTCCTCCCGATGTGTCTTATGAATACATTCGGGCTCCGCACAATCAAAACGGGGCGTTAGCGGGCGGTCAATGAGGCTCGACAGGTGGCAGCGAGCGGAGGCCGGTGCGAAAGAGCCGCAGATGCCGTCTCTGTTTAGATTCTCAGCGATGGTTTTTCCAATTACAGTCATTTGCTGTAAAAGGCTCCAGACTGCCGGGAAGGGTAGAATGGCACAGGGTAATTGGTGGTGGGCTGGGGGGGGGGTTTATCACATGAGATATAATCTATATCACTCTCCAGTGGAGCAGCATTAGTCAAGCAGGAGGGGGGGGGGGTCATTTTTTTTTTTTTTTTACTGTGGCCTCCCACGGCGCTCCGCTGACACCACTTTGAGCATCACCCCGGAGGGGGAGTACATGGGCTCTCTCTCGTCTGCGTGCTCCCCCTTTTGTTACACCGTGTCTTCAGAAAGCACATAGAAAAGCCGCCCCCCCCCCTTCTCGTAGACGCGCTCTGCTTTGACTCTTAATTCCTTCGCCCCGATAAGCCGCGGAGGGAGGAAGCTTCCGAAAGCAGCAGCAGCCGCCGCCGCTTCGCCGCATTGTGATCGTTTAACCCTCTGTGGGTTGATGGCGTCGGTAAACGGCTTTATAGAATTCAGCACGGGCTTGGGACGCCGTAGCAAAAGGGCACAGGAATCACCTGTTTTCATTGGGCTTTCTGCGCCCCCCCCTCCGTCGTGCCTCAAAATAATCAAATCCGATCATAAGCAACCCGTGAAAGTGTCTTTCTCTCCCTCTCTTTCTCCATTGTTTTCTCCTTTTTGAGCCTAATCGCTCTCTCACTCCGTGCCGGGCACTCGCAATGTAATTATATATGATTTACAAACAGCTGCAGCCATAATGGCGTATAAACAAATTACAGGACGAGGAAGGAGAAACAACAGAGGAATAAAGAGATGAGCACCGAGAGGACTTGGCTGGCAGTCAGTGGTTTTCGCTGTGCCTCCGGATCGTCGCTCTGGTCTCCACTTCCACACAAAACGAGCACTCGGGCACAACGTAGTTCGCCCCTTCTGCACGCCGTCTTTCTGCCAACATTAAACGGGAGTGTGCCTCTGTTATGGCGCGCTCCCCTCCCTAACGTGGCCGCTCGCGTCCATCCGGAATGTCCCCGGGATGCAGGTTCGCTCTCTGCCCACCCGCAGCATGCGGAGCTCGTTTCGGTCCAGAGCGTTGTCTTTTATCACGACCATCCGTGTGTGATTCCACATGCCGGCCGGTTCTGCTGAGTGTCTTAGTGTTGCGACATGCATATTTATGCGAATGATTGTCTGGGTTGGCAGGGCCGCGCCCCCCCCCCCCCCGGACTCAGAGCTGCACACGTGGACGATGTGTTCCTGATAAATTCATAGTCCCAAAGGCCGGTGCACCTTTGTCCGAGAAACCTGCACGGCAAATTGGATCCGAGAATCCCAGCGGAGGAAGACGATAAAGCACGAGAGCGCACTCTGCATACCGAATCAAACGCACCCTCGCAGATGTGCACACGACACTTGGAAGAAGTCAAAGCAGTGAGTGTGCTTCTCCATGAGGACGAGGCGCACGAGCAGGAAGGGTTAAAGATGCGAGTGTGTTGCTAGAAACGAATCCAGAGGACAAGCACAAATTACATTTAGCAGAGTCTGCACTAAATGTAAGCGCGGCGCAAGTGGATGAAAGGAGTTTAACTCGAAGCTCGCGGCGCGGCGTAGCGTTTCAGCTGTCGTCACACTCGTGTTGGATCATCATCATCAGCCAGTCGGGCCACTAAGCGTGATGCGGCTCGTTTAAATATTTCCCCCCGTTTTGTGCAACGAATATTACGGCCACACTTCCATACAAAGCGTTTTTAATCAGGTCGGACCAAGAGGGCCCGTCCACTGAGGCTGCCTGTATGCTAATGTATGTGTGTGTGTGTATATATATTTATATACATACACCAGGTAGAAACCCTCTCCAAGCTCAAGTGCCATTCATTCAGCTCTCTCCGGTCCCCCGAACAGAACGTGGCCCGGGAATTTAAATAAAAATATTAGTCAGTGTGGAAATCCACACACACAAGCGCACACCGGCACGGTCTGAGTAGGAAGGAAGGAAGGCGCTCACCAATTTTTTTTTATTTTTTAATTAGATTAATAAATCAAGGAGGTGGCTGGCTGTGACGGCTGCAGCCCAATGCCATTCCAGTAAGTCTGCACCGAGACGCTGTGATGTAACTTCACCACCTCCGTGTGAGTGTGCGTGCGTGCATGCGCGTGGCGTGCGAGGGGTTCGGGTTGCGATTTATTTGCGATTCATGTTTTCCTAAAAACTGCTTTCTCTACAAAACGCCGAGGATGGTGTGTGTGTGTGGTTCCCCCCCTGTTCCCCTCGCTGCATTCATCAGCAGTTGGCGTAGCGGCGGGGGGCCGATGAGGTGTCGGGACACGTCGCCCCCTGACCCCCCCCCTCCACATTCAAACCGAGCTCCCAGCTTTTCCCTTCACGCTCCAGAATCCCCTCCTGCTCCTCGCCCCTCTTCGGCTCGGCACGCCGTTCGAGGTCGGCGGTCCCGCAGCTGCTCGCCGGGCCCGGCTCAGATCAACGCCGCCGCTATTTCCAGCTTTTGACAAGTCACTGCAGCAGCAAGGAACGGTGTATTTCCTAGTTGAACACACACACACACACACAATGCATTTCCGTGCACAACAAACCAGGTTAGTGAGAAGAATCGCGTTCCCACAGGAGGTCTGAGAATGTGTTGCGATGTGAGCCGTTGTAACCCGGTTACTGTAAAAAGTTTCCACACAGATGGTCAGTAATCACATTCCTCCCGTCTTGTATTCAAATGAATCTGCGGCATGAAAAGTTTTTCTTTTTTCCTTCAGCTGATGGCGCAGCGAGGGGACAGACTGTGTGTGAGAGCACAGTGTTTCACTACGATTTGCCCGTATTTGCCTCCACTTCTACAAATATTCAGCTGTGGAAAATAACGCGTTCATTTCTCACCCGACCGCGTAAACCGTATTTTCTGTTGTTTCATTCACATTCAGATATAAATATATATTGTTTGTATGAATGATTTGTTTGTTAACATGATGAAACGCTGTAGGAAACCATGTTGAATCCTTGGCCGTCTCCTTCTCCTGTGGAAATCTCACTCAACAGTTCCCCTTAATCCCTTTGCCTGATTTTGAAATATCCTGGAGTCTAGAGGACTTTATGTGTATTAAATGTGCTTACTGCAGAACGCTGACTCTGAGCACGCTGGTCATTACCTTCTTTCACTGGACTCTGTGCCTGCTTTTTATTTTTGCCCCGTCTACCTTCTCATTGTATGAATATGTGGTTAAAAAAAAAAAGAAAAAAGCCCCATTACTGATGATGACCCTGGCTTCCCACAAAGCCTCCTCCAGGTGGCAGATCAGTGGAAACGGCCTCTGAAAGTACCCCATGAAATTTCACAGGGGCCTTTTTTCCTAAACTACTGGCTGCAATTGCTCACACACACACACACACACACACACACACACACACACACACACACACACACACACACACACACACACACACACACACACACACACACACACACACACACAAAAAGGCACAATACGCTGTCCATACACCAAAAAATATGCTCTGCATATTACACAAACACCAGGAAGTGATTCACATGCAGATCGCACACACTGTGGCTCCACAATCTGCTCCCCAACGGCAACTGCAGGGGTTTTAAATCTGACTGTTGCTTAACAGATAGTCATTGGATCCATGCGGCACCAACTCGCCGTCTCCGTCCCCCACCGAGCCGGAGGAAGACATTCCCGGCCCGATTGCACCGTGACGGGCACGCCCGCCCGCCGCGTGTCATGTGATGGCTCAATAGGCCACAGAGGCTCATTGGAAGAGCTGCACGCCTCCATCAGGCTTAGCCGCACGTGCTAACGGGTTTGCGGCTATTTCTTGAGCATGAGGGCGACTTTAGGGCGTTGGTTTTGATGCATAACTTTTAGTGATGTTTTTTTTAGAGTAACCTTCCTTAAGTGAGTAACACCGGTTTGGATTTGTACTATTCATTAGTTTGAGGTACCTTTTTAAGCAGTGATGCTCTTTACTGTAACTGGAAACCAGGCTTTTTATAAGGAACCACTCCGCAGCATGCAATGAAGCAATCAATCCCCCTTCACAGCCCACGTTAGTGATTTCTGTCTTCTGGAATGTGTTACGGCGCTCCGCTGGATCCTTTCTTCTGTGCCGCTTCCTCTCGACGGCACACAGTCGAGCCAAGAATCCCAATCACAGCAACGAGCTTCCGCCGCCGCTGAGAGAATTATATATAATTAAACTTCTGTTTGACATTGTTCAACTTCCCCGCTATTGGGAGCAAAGTGATCACAGCGGCAAACACCCCGTTGAACTATGTTCCAAAACGCAACAAGCCCTCCGGACCGCCCTGTTGACTGACGTTTTGTCTCGTGTCCCCGTCTCTCTCAGGGGCCCAGCTGGAGAACCTGATGGAGACCATGAGGGCAGAGATCGCCGCCCAGCCGCCCGTGGAAGGCGCCTACGCGCCGCGCCGAGGGGACATCTGCATCGCCACGTTTGCTGACGGCGAATGGTAAGCCGGCCTCCTCGGGCCCCGAACAGACCTCGGCTACGCGCCGCGCGTTCCGCGGGAGGCGCACGACGCGTCGGGGGCCTTTCTTCCCGTCTCCGCGGTAACCTGACATTTGATTAGTTACCTCGTCTCTCTTTAAGCCTGCGACGCGTTAACCGCGGGCGCCCACGAGGCGTAATTAGCTCTCTGCATCTCTTTTGGCCTTTCGGAATCAGCGCGTCGCTTGACAGTAGCTGTCGCGCACACACACACACACACACACACCTCTCCTCAGCGGATGTGGGGAAGTTTACAGATGGTCGCGGGGACAGATAAAAGTCACCGCGATCCGAGGAAGAGGGAGGAGAGTGCGAGTCGAGGTGGCGACGGCGGCGAAAGGAAGATCACAAACCTGATTTGAAACGCACTCAAAACCGAATGTTCCCCTCGGCACACGTCCTTCCTCCCTCGTTCCCTCCGTCTTCCTCTGCAGGTCTTTGAGGGGAGACAACTAAAGTTGTTCCTTTGTCTCGCCGACGGTGTCAGCGAGCTTTTCGAGCGGGCCGTCTGTTTGGAGGCTGTTTGTGTAGAAGTCTGTCGTCCTGATTGCAACATCAGAACAGTAATCCAACTGCCTTTCAGTTCTTTCCTTACCAGTAATGTATTATTCAGCCAGCTGATTGTGTTCACGTTTGCGTTGTTCTTTGTCCGTGTCTTTGTGTTCTGTGGTGCTCGTGGAAAGTCTGCTTGTTTCATCGGGGGCTAATTAAAGAACTCGGCGCCGCTCACTGCCGCTCTTTATGTCTTCCTGTTCATCACTTATCTGCTCTTGTCCCCGATTGTTTGCCTTTCCTCTCGCCGTCCTCGGTACTTTCAGTGGGTTTGTCTTTGGTCTCCTCTCTCGGACGAGGAGACGCTCCTCGGAGGGGGTGCATCCGGTTTATTTCCTCTCCAACTGTGTGGGAATAATCAAACTCTGAGGTGTTTGAGATTACCACTAATGCACTGGAGTTATTTGCTACAGGGCAAAACAAAAAATGCCTCTGAATTTCTGTGCTTTATTGCAAAGAGGCCTCTGTGCAATTTACCCCTGCTCGCCCCGCCATGCCCCGATGGATCCCTTCTGTCCCCACACTCCCCCGGCCTGCTCCCCCTCCCCCTGTTCCTCTCCCCCGATCACAACAGACAGATCCTCCAACACCGTCTCCCCGGGGAAATAAGCACGGAATCATTTACTCATCTCCTTTTCCTCTTGTGCCCTCTGTCTCTGTCTCCCTCCCTCCCTCCCTCCTTCTCTCCCTCCTGCAGGTACAGAGCCAGAGTGGAGAAAGTTGAGTCCCCGGCACGGGTTCACGTCTTCTACATCGACTACGGCAATGTGAGTAACTCAATGTTGCGTGTTCACCGTTAAAGCAGAGTCCTGTAGTTTGGGGCTCGAAATGATGAGAAAAAAAAGAAGTAAATAAAGCCGAGCCAGAGGGCAACTGTGCAAAGAGGGATTTGTTTTCTATTTCTCGCATCTATTCAGACACCAGTTGTTTGCTTATCTCCACATTCAGAGCAACCTAACTGACATTATGTGTCTTTGCAGCAGGACAAATATGATGCAGGCTCATTTGTTGTCCCTCCCAATGTTTACCACTGAAGCAAAGAGTGCAACTGAGTGGGGAGTTTTTATGCCTTTTCAGAACAATAACAAAAGCGGACCTCCCCCGCTTCTCTTTCTTCCACACACATGCTTGCATCACCAAGTGGCTAATGCAGCCTGCCCTCGGGCCCGCGGGGGTTTCTCCCGTGATGCAGTGGAGCGGCACAGTGTGCGAGCGACCCCGCAGTGGGGGACAGCTCGAGGTCGGGCTGGCAGACGCGATGCGTCCTGGCGTTTTTTTTTGCTCGCGGTGTGATTCTCCGAGGCCGACCTGGCGCGCCGCAAAGCCACCGGGCGTAAATATATGTAACTGTTTGTTTCACGTCACTGCGGCCTTGATGCCGCGCCTCTGTGGCGGTGTGAAATATACGGGCACCTGTCCCCAGGTACGGGTCGGCGCCTTGAATTATCATGTGATCGTTTAGCACAGACGGACGAGCTCTTTTGTCTTTCGCGTCCACCGTGCCGTCAAAGTCTAATACGCCGTTGATTCATCTTAAGGTCATAATTCGTAATACACGTTCAAGGCGTTCTGGCTGCACTGTACCGTCCGATGAACACATTAACCTCACCGATGGGGGGGTCATTAAATTAACTTCCCATTTCTAACGGCTGTATCAGTCTGACTTTCCTGCTCCAGGAAGCCTGCGGTGATGCGGATTGGCTCTCATTGGCTCATACCGGTGGTCATGTGCCGGCCCGATTGTTTCCTCATGCTTAATATCAGTGATATGAATTGCGATGTGCAAATGCTTGTCAAGCCTTTGAGCACGAGCACGGTGATTAGTCCATTTTGACAAATGTTTCAGGTTGTCGGTGGCACACAAATGCATTAAAACCAGGATGACACATTTAAATATGACTTACTGCTCTTTGGTTTCTTAAATTGGAGATAAAGTGTAGTAGTATCCATACGCACGCTGGCGAGAGAAATTGCATTTTTATTTTGCTTGTACGTTTATGAGACTGAAGTGTTTTTCCAATCAGACGCGTCTGACTAGCGACTTGACATCCATTGGCGTCTTCACTCTCAGCTCGTAGCCGAGCTCGAGAGCAGATGGGGCTTAGTGAAAGGGGCTGAAGAACAGCTGTGAAATGATTGGTAAGGCGACATGTACAAGAATGCAACAAAACGGCATCTGTCCTTCATTCACAGTAGAAAACTGTCAATGTCAAAGTGACTTGCAGATTTCCGAATGGATTCCGAGTCGAGGGAAAGCGGGAAGAGGCGACGCGCTGATAGGGTTCATATCCAGCCCGAGTGTGTGATGCGACTTCCTTTAAAAATGCCCTTCGCTTGCCGACGCATTTCAATTTGAAAAGAAAAATCACTCTGTAGCGTAAAAGACACCGGTGAACTATGATCATTACTACAACTCTCTCATCCAAGTATTCCATACTGACTCTTTGATTTCCATCCTCCCGCAGAGAGAAGTTGTGCCGTCCACTCGTCTGGCCGCCATGCCCCCCGCCTTCGGCATCAGGACCCTGCCGGCACAGGCCACCGAGCACGCCTTCGCCTACATCCAGGTCCCTCAGGACGTAAGTGGCCCGGCGGACGCGCGTGTCGTTTATTGTAGCTTTTCAAAGCTGACTTTTATGGGAATATGTAAAATCTTAAATTGGTGGTAGAAACCTCGTTCTTTATGCGTTTATTTATCGTATGACGTTTCTTGAGGAACCCACAGGCCCTGTAGATGGATGCAAACCATCCAGGTACTCAGTGGCTCTTTGTTTCTGCATATAAACGTCCAGCTGATGGCCAAATAGTCTCCTCCTTTTCTATTCAGTCCTAATCTTCTGGTTTAGTGTGGGTTTACTAAGCCTGAGCCGACCACACACCGTGTGTGTGTGTGTGGGTGTGTGGGTGGGTGTGTGGGTGGGTGGGTGTGTGTGTGTGTGTCAGGGGGCCAACTCATTCATAGCCTCCTCAATAGTCTGTGCAGATGTAAAATGTTGTTTTCGTGCGCTATGCGCCTGATTGTCACAGCGCTCGGCTCTGTCTTTAATCACTTGTGTGTATTTGTGCGCGTCAATTTGAAAGTGTATTTGTTCCACAGTACAGACTACAGTTTACATGGTTTTGAGTTTTAAGTTACATTCCTACAAATGCATCTTGGTCTAAATCCTACTGTGTGTGGGAGATTGTGTGAGTGAGAAAGAGGGAGCTGGAAGTGCCTGCATGCACGCTGACACCTGCCTCGTGAGTCAGTGTATACTGAGGGATGAAGTGTCCCATCTGCTGGTCCAGCCCGGGGGACGAGGGCATCACCTACACTCTGTAGCCTCCAGAGACACACACACACACACACACACAAACGCACACACTCACTTGCACACAAAGCTTTGCCACATGTTGCGAGCTGGCATCCACCTTACACCTCTCCGTCTCTGTCACTCTGCATCCGTCTAACCCGTTTGCCAGTACTTCCTGTTTTCTCAGGGGTTTCCTTTCATGCTCTTGCTTTGTGCTTTGTGCGTAGGAAAGGTTGTCGCCGCGCGTCTCGCAGCCATCCGCCCCGATGCCCCGCACAAACGCCGTCTCTCGGCGCCGGTTTTTATGACTTCATAGTCTGTCTTAAGCCTTTTATTTCCTTAACGCGCAAAAAGCCCGCCAGTGGGACGACATCACACCGCCGCTTTCCAGCGCATTTTTACATGAAATGTTCCATTAAAAAATGGCGAATGCCGTCGGGGGAAACGGTGCCTTACCTGAACGAAGCGTGAGGCACGACGCACGTGTTCTCATGATATTTGACTGCAGGCCTCACTTCTGCCCGAGCGATGTGTTTTCCCTGTTTGAAATGTAATCACAGATGTGGGGAACTCCCAGCTGACTGGAACTGGGACGCGCCGCCGTGTTTTCACTCGGCCTCATCAGCTAATTATAGAAAGAAGTGTACGCCAAGAATGCACTTTTAAAAAAAGGCGTTCAGCAGAAAAAGTTCCAACAAATGACGCACGTAAAAAGTCGACCCGCACAACAGCCGTTACCTGATGAGAATCTGGTCATTCATTCATTTACATTACATGCACCTGGATGCGCCGCCATCGACAGACGCAAAACAAAACACACCAGCAGCGAGCGGTCTCGGATAAATGTAATTTAGAAAAGGCTGAAAAGTTATTTTATTCACACACGGTCAGATTATTAGATGCAGGATAATATTGTTCTTTAAGTCATTCCCCGTAGTAATTGCTTTGTCGGCTTGTAAACGGAAATATGTTTGGTAGAATTGTTTTTATTTGAACAAGGGAGGGTCACTAAAAGGCTCTCGTTAATTTTGTATTGCCCCGTTCCAGAAGGGGGGAGGAGAAATAGGCCCTCGTTTTTGTGCCTCCAACAAGCTTCCCTGCGTGCACACGCTCGCCACACACACACACACACACACACACACACACCTAACACCAGACACACACACACACACACACAGATACCCAAGGGCGACCAACTTGAAGGGGGTTGCCATGGAGACAAGACCAGGGCGAGAAAGAAGGGAAGCAAAGAGATAGATGGTGTAGCGGAGGAATGGATGATGGCCAGGGACTGATTTTAGTTTTTAAGCGTCATCCTGCCTCTGAACATGCGGCTCTCTAGTTTTTTTTTTTTTTTTGTTTCTCGCTCTGGTCCAGCGTTGTGGAGGACGTGGAGTCCGTGTTGCATCGCAGCCGCTCCGCCGTCCTTCACCACCACCTGTTCAATCAAATGCCGGCCTTTCACGTTGAAGGAGGGTTATGGATAAGAGACAGCGGGGTAACTAAGTGAAGGATGAGAAGAGTAGAACGAGGAGGTGGTGCAGGGTGGGTGAGAATCAAACCAACGTTTGGGTCAGCCCAACTAGAAGAGTGACCATGTGGTTGTAATCGATTGGAGGATGACGTGTATGAATGTTTTCCTGCTGTCCAGGTGGGACCACAAGTTGTGTTTTTTTTTGTTTTTCCACTTATTTCCACTTGACAGAAATCCAATATCACAGTTGGGTTCATGCATATGTAGTATGTTTTTATCAGCCGCTGCATAGCATGTGTGTGTGTGTGTCTGTGTGTGTGTGTGTGTGTGTGTGTGTGCTTATCTGTTTTGGAGCCATTGGTGATAATATACTAATTAGCCCTTTCAACTTTTTTTCCCCTTCCCTCCTCCGTCTCTGTAATCTTCTCCTCACTACCTTTTATTTCACGTCTTCTAACATCGACCCCCTGCTCCTCCAGGAGGACGCCCGCGCGGACGTGGTGGACTGCATCGTGCGGGACATCCAGAACAGCCAGTGCCTGATGAACGTGGAGTACTCGGGGGCCACCTGCCCACACGTCACAATACAGTTCGGGGACACCAAGGACGACGCTGGCCTCGGCCTGGTCAAGGAGGGCCTGGTCATGGTGGAGGTCCGCAAGGAGAAGCACCTGCAGAAGATGGTAAGTGGAAAGTCCTCAATCGACCTCGGGAGCCACGTGTAGCAAACTGTCAGGGTAGATGCATAGTTATTAGAGACATTCACGTTTTCGCTTTCTGTAAATGTTCCACTGATTTCCCAGCTCTACTTTTGTTATGTGTTGAAAAAGCAATTTAGTGTTCCCCGATTCTCCAAATATGACTTGCCTTCTCCTTCCTGCGTTCTGTCATACAGTGGCTCGCAGTGCAATCAAAATGCACCATATGGATCAATATTTGCATCAGCGTCAGTTGATCCAATAGCAGCAGGTGCTACTTATTTTTAAACAAACAGCAAATATCTCATTCTGAAATGGGCCTTTTGTGTATTATTTGATTTGAGAAGTTGTGCATCCGGCCGAGCTGAGAGATCCAACGTGCCTCGCGTTTCCATCTGGGTTCTCGCGTATGGATCGCCTTATTTTAAAATGAATGAACATTAGCATCACACTAAACGCTAACACTGTAGCACACAAAGCAATGAGTCTCTGCCACGCAATAAACAATTACACCTCTGCAATTTGCCCCAGAATGGCGGCCATTGCGTCAAAGCGCCGAGCTCTCGTTATGCTAATGTCTAAAGAACCATGTCGCATGTATGTTTCCGTCGCAGTGAGCGCCTCCGCACGAACCCAATCTCAGTCACTCGTATTTATTGGAAAATTGTAATTCACGCAGGAGTGGATGTATGATGCCCGTGAGGAAGTAATTGCTGGTAAACATCATCAAAATATACACAAATTGAACGGCGGTGGAAAAAGAAAACGTTCCGCTCGCACGCGGAGACCTAATAACTCATTCCTGTCCTCCACAGATAAAAACACTTCCCGCCTCGGCCGGTCAATAAAGCGCTGTGCATCGTCCTATCGACACCTGACCTCTAACGAGTAGCCAGCAGCCGTAATGCAGCGGCGCCTATAGACAAGAGCACAATGATTTAAACCTTTCAGCCGCAGGACCAATAGGCTTATAGACTGCGCGATTCAGGCTTTGTTGAATCAAATGGCTCCTCTTCAGTATTCAACAGCTGCGTCTCCAGCGTTTGCCTTTCCCCCTTAGCTGGCTGCAGACCAACGTTTTCATATGGAGAAAAGCTGGGAAAGCAGCAGCGCTGCCAACGTGCCCACGAGTGAGTGTTAAAGTGAGCTCTCGTGATTCCATCCATGAGCTCACTGAGTGAGTGCGTTAACTGTTTGGGTAAAGTGTAGGTCGGCTGTATTCGGTTCTCGCATCGCAGGAAGGTCTTTATCACAACGGAGGAATGTAAGTTTAGTCCATTTTATTTACAATAAATTGCTAAAAGAGTCTGACAAGTCATTTCGTTGAAAATCCGTTTCCCCCTCCTAGTTTTCTAACCCCTCTTTGGGCTGGTGTGCTGCTGCGCGTGGAGGTGTTGAGTCTGCTTCGTTTTCTAATCTTATCGAAGTTGACATTTCAGGCTCAAAGATTCACGAGCAGCACAGCAGCCGATGCTGCTGCGACAACGGGAAGCGTTATCTTCCAAGGCGGCGGAGCCCAAAAAATGTCTCTGGATGCAACCTTTTGTTGCCCTCTGGATGCCCCCCCCCCCCCGCCTCGACAGGAGCTCTGTCCTCCCTGTGAAAAGTGACTTTTGTCCTTCCTCTCCGTTCCGTTTGGGCTCTATTCTTCACTCGTCATCCATTCCAGGGATTGGAACGCGGTAATCTGTGGTCCCGCCACGTTCACGGGCACTTGGGTGTCAAAAGTGCACCGAAGGTCCATTCAGGGTCTTTTTCTCTCTCGTGCACGTCTGCCTTAAGCCTTGTAGCCTCTGCTGCAGCAATGCTGCACTTTCACGGCGCAGGATGAACCGTCATTGTGTGAAGTTTAGGCAGAGAGACGGATGTTATGCACGGCAGCTGCTGGTATACGATCGCTGGGAAGCGAAATCATTCAGCCAAATTGTGATTGATATTCTGTACTTATTGACGGGGAATTGACACAGCGATGCCGATGGAAGATAAAGTTACGGGGAAGTGCAACTGACATTGTCCCATGTCGAATGGAGGGACGCCAGGGCTCACATGTGCGTCTTCCTTACTACACCCTCCCAATCAAGAGGAGGTAATGTCCCAGTGTGAAGTTTAATCTGGCAGATCATGTGTGGTCCCTCGGCACATGTACGTCACACTGAATACTGTGACTACAGGCACACACAGACCTTTTACATTCAGAAATAGAGCTTGATACATATATCATTATTATTATAATATATGATATAAGATCATTGTGTGTGTGTGTGTGTGTGTGTGTGTGTGTGTACAAGCGACTCATTCCGAGCTGGCCTCTGTTGACCCGACACTCTCACACTCACTCCACGCCTTCTCCACCTCGCGGCACCGTCGTTTAACCGCTGCCGGGTTGGCCGGGCGCCACGCTGGCACGTGCCGCGTCATTAGAGGCACTTCTGCCTCCGTCCTTCCACCCGTGGTGGAGTCTGGCGTCCCTGCGCTCCCGTTACTTACTCCCTCCACTCGCTGCACTTGTTTTGTCTTTTCTTTTCTTTTTCCATCCCTCCTTCCGTTCTTTGTCTGAACCTTTTGCCGTTCATCAACTGAGCTCGAGTGCTAATTGCATCTGTCACGATGAACCATATCTCAGAATCAAAGTGAGAGCTCTGGATCTGATCTGGTCTGCCCATAATGAGCCGTGATTTACAAATGCTGTTATCTGCGATTAATTTGCAACTTTCCTCAGCCGGTTCTGCCCTGTGAACTCGCACTGAGGTGACAGTCTTCTATCATTTTAGCGTACAGTGTGGAGAAACTAACTGTGTGTGTGTATTAAGATGGTGAGCTTAACGGGTAACTACACACACTATAGAGGAGTTATTTCCCCCCCGTTTGGGTGCATCAGGTGCCTCAAGTAGCCATCTTTTGTTCCCCGCTGCTTTCCCACCTGCGCGTCTCCTTTCGACTAACCGACAGCGCCGCTCGCCCCCCAAAAACTTCATTAGCGTTACGAGCTTAATAATCTCCTGTTCGCCAATTACAAGTCAATTACAAACACGCTCTCTAGCCGGCGCGATTATTATCAATCGGCGACAGCGGCGAGGTGAACCTGCTGTATTGACCGGCGCCTCATTTCCATCACCTAAGAGATGCATGTCGAGATAAGTTCCTGTAAGAGCACCGCCGACAAATGTTTGCAGAGACCTGCTTAAGATCTTCATTAGAACGTTGCGGAGTCGTGTGTCAGCAGAAGGAAGACAGCTGTGAGGGGGCTTCTTAAGAGGGAACGCTGCAGATGGGTCCTGGAATCTTTAATTACCCAGGAGGCCCCTGGGGAATGCGCTTTTCTCTTCTTTTTTTTTAAAATCTTCTCTCCCTCGTTTGTCGCCGCAGTCACGCTGCCGCCGTGCTCTTTGTGTGTGCTTTTCGAGCGGGGAACTTCCAGGGGCCACGAGGGCAGCGTTGAGTTGCGGCTCTGGTGCGATGCAGTTTTTTTTTGCTTGCTTGCTCCGCAAACTGAACCGTTTTTTTCGCAGTTTGCAGGCGGCGTCCCCGGTGCGGTTAACGGCGCGGCGGCACCGTGCAGTAATTGTGTTAATGGGGGTTGAGGGTGTAGACAGAGATGAAGTGGTGTAGTCACCATGTGGGGAATCACATGCAGGCTCAAACCCGGGGGGGGGGGGGGATGGGTTGTGCGCTTCATCAAAGCTAGCTACACACACACACACACACACACACAAACACACACACACAGCCCTACAGTGAGCCGGCTCGTGTGACGTAGTCCGCTGCCTCCGTATCGTTGCTGTTTCTACGCAGCAGTGCGACTGTAGCGAAATAAGGCCGAATGGGCAAACGGCGCCCAGGCTCCCTCGCCGCCGCCGCTCCGAGGCCCCTTCCACGTGTCCTAGCTGACACGCCAACGCCACGCACTCACTCAGCAAACCCTCCCACTCTCCCTGAGGGCGAGGGGGGGGCGGGGGTTGTCGGGAAAGGAGTGCAGGCGCAGCATCGTTCAAACTTCTCTTACTTTGACTTCGGCGACCTCGCGGGAGACGCTGCAGGAGGGGAGGAGCGAGTTATAGCGAGCGCGACATCCTTCTATAATGCATTAGTGTTTACGTAAGACCGCTCTCCCCAGCGCCCCTGGGGGAGCATCGGGAAGTGTTCTTTGTCATATCTGCTGTTGGTGGTTGTGCATTTGTTGTGTGCGCGCGTGCACGCGTTTTACACTTGTGTGTGTGTGTGTGTGTCCTTAACTCCCAGCCCATGCTGGTGGGCTTGTCATGCCACGTTCCCGCCAAAGCGCCTGATCTCCTCCGACAGCCATGCTGGGGGGGGGGCGGGGACCAGCATGCAACATGGTGTATTCCCAGTTTACCCCCAGATAAGGACAATGACACTCGATGTACATACGAGGCTGGTTTTCATGAAGCAGCAGACGGATTTAAACCGTCTATTGCTCAAAGAAGACTGCGATTGGTTCAGTTTCCGGTGAACGGAGGGGGTCTTGCATCATCATTGCATCATTCGCTAAAAATGATTCAAATGGGAGAAAAGTGAAGCACATCAAGTAATACAAAATACTGTGTTTTTTTCCTCCCATTTTTTGTGGGAAAGGAGCTGTGAATCTTTTCCTCCTACAGTTGAGACACTGACACAAAGGTTCAGTCTCCTACAAGGACCCGTGTGAGGAGACCTGGCCGCCTCGCCACTCGCCATGCAGAATTCACTCCGGGTCTCTCAGGAACGCAGTCCACCCGCCGACTTGAACCGCTGCGACTTACGGACACGAAAAGTTGTGTTCCAACCCGCCTTCGCCGCTCCGAGGTCGAGGTTCATCATCGACGGCAGGCGGGGCCGTGGATCAATGCCAGATGGAGAGCGATGGGAGGAAGACCACGAGGAAGGACTGAGAACGTTTTTTTCTGTGGTTTGAGTTTGATTGCTCGTGCTGTTGATCGACGAGCTCAACGTCTCATTGTTCCCCCTTTTCCACTCCCGTGGTTTTCAGTTTTTCTTTTGAAGAAGTCCCTGGTCTCATTTCCTTCTCATGTGAAAAACAGTTTTTTCTGAAGAGGCAGCTCACCTACGCACCAGACGCGCGCAACCTGTCCGAAAGCTGCCACGTTAGCGGCTGCTCGGATCCCATCACTTCTCACACCAATGCTTACCGGAACACCACCTGGGCACGGCGCGGCGAGGAACACGCCGTCTCGAAGGCACAGAGACTCACAGCCGGGCGGACGGGTGCCAAAAGCACCAGAGCCGCGCCACCTGTCGCCCGCCTTCTTCAAAGACTCACACTTGCACCGAGTCGCCAGCTAGAAAGTCACCTGCGTGCGTTGAGATGGTCTCCGGCAGCAGTTGTGGGTTTTTTTTTATTCCCTCCAGCCCCTTAAAGTTCAGCCGAATTGACTTGTCGTGTTGCATGTTGGGAACTCGTGCGTCTTAAGGGGATCCACGCCGGCATCTGCCCGGCATATGGGAGCTCTGTAGGGTCATCCCGACATGCACGCCGCCACCCGCCGCCTTCTGCCCACCGAAACCCTTCCAAACGCCCCCCACCCCCCATTGATGAATCCCCCTTTTTTGTTTCATATTCTCCTCCAAACCAACACATGATCCTCTTCTACGCTTCTTCCTCGTCTGTCTTTTTCTGACAATCCTCAAATCGTTTCCCCCCCCCCCCGTCCTCCCACCCCAATTCCTGCGAGTCATCTGCTGATGAGTTTTTCTTCTTTGCGCCGTAATGAACTATTATGCCTCCCTGCTGGAGCCGATAGAAAAGCTGTGAAAGAAGCATCCGGGACCGGATCCGGGGAGCTGTTGAGAACCTGAAGGCAGTCGTCATCATCATTGTCGTTGGTGTTCAGCTGCACACTGATTGGCTGTTGTGCGACGCCCAGCTGAAGGTAGCAGAACAGCGGCGCGGCGGAGGACTCTTGCCGCGGCATCTTTCGGAGAATCTTTGGACGGGGCCATTTTTCTTAAATATTGCTTGAGCCTCTAAGCCATCCTCCACCAACCTGAACCACTGCGGCCCTGATCGCCCCCCCCACAAAGCCCAAATGGCACCGCCGGCCCTTTTTTGTCCCTGAAATATTATCGTCCGATGTCTCCCACATGGGGGACGTCCGCCCGATGGAACCTGAGGTGTCATATCCCGACTCCTTCCAACAACAAATCCCTCCTTAAGTTGGCTTTGCTGGATGATTTGTGCAGCCGCTGCACTTTCCCGGGCCACGCACGGCACGTGAATCCTCAGACCAAGCGGTTGCACAAACCCAGCTGCAGGTTCCGTAGCGCCTTGGCGGTGCCGTGCGCAGCGCAGCTATCAAATCAACCCGTGTGCTCAAGCTAGCTAAGCAATTAAACGGCCGGGCCCCATCCACACTTGACAGTTTTAACATCTGGCGTCCTGTTCTTCTGTGTGTGTGTGTGTGTGTGTGTGTGTGTGTGTGTGTGTGTGTGTCATAGTGTGAAATCCAGCTCAGCTGCTACTATAATAAGCAACAATACACGGTGCACAATTGAATCCATCGCGGGAACACGATGAGTCATCGTTTCTGTCTCCTTCTCTTTGTTGAGTTTTTGCTCTCCGTGTGTTATTTTCATTTTTTATTATATTTCCTTACTGCTTATTCCTATTTTCTTTTCTTTTTTTCAGCTAATCCGAATGAAGCGAGTTATATTCCAAATCCCCAGATGACTCCCTTTCATTTCAGCATTGACAGAGTGTGGATGTCCAGGGTTAAACGTGGTGAAGGTGGGGTTCTGATGGAGGGCCGCTCCACCCATAAACCCCTCCCCTCCCTGCCCCTTTGCCCTGTGACTCATCCCCGGTTCATTCAATGGGGCTAAATGGCGTTTGTCGCTCAAGCGGTCAATAAGCTGGACGTTGCCGTCCTCCCGTCTCGTCCTCTCCGCTCGCTGCAGAATGTACACGTCACTTCACGCATTACTTTCGCCCGCTTCTCGCTCCTGAAAACAAATGACATTTGTGTGTCACTACTGATAAATGCTCGAAAGGAACCGTTTGTGTGTCACATTTCTTATGTTCTGATTCTTTCTGTATAAAATATACGAGCAAACTGTAGTTCAACTACAGACCCGAGCGGACTGTAATGTTCATACGGTCTATAAAAGAGTCTAAATAGTTTCCCTTCTCTTTCCCCACCAGGTGACGGAGTACCTGAACAGTCAAGAATCCGCCAAGAGTGCCCGGGTAAGTCTCTTCATCCCAAACGTCTACTCGTCTCCCCCCCCCCCCGTCCCCCGTCCCCAGATCAGTCCTAATGGTCTCGGCTTGTCGTCCTCTCGGTGGGGATCGTGACGTTGCCAAAAAGTCCTCATTGTCCCGTCTGAAAGAAAGTTGGGTTCGAAAGGGACCGATGAAGGGTCAGTACACAGGGCTCCTGCGGTGGAGAGTACATGAATGCATCACAACTGAAGGAGGCCGAATACAGTGTCAGTTTACAAAAGGAAATCTGTTTTAAGGAACAAAGGCTGGTGATTTTCTACGTCTGCCATGAAAAAAAACAAAACAGTAAAGTGACATTAATGAATCTTACTAATGAGCATTGGCTGTTTGGACAAAGCCTGAGCGTCGATAAAGTTTATTTACATGAACATGCTGCTGTAAAATGTTCGGAACAGAGCAAGAAGAAGGAAGTGTGGTTTGCTGTTTAAGCTGCACGTCCACAACGTTCTTCGGCCTTTTCAACCATCCGCTCGGTCAACAAGGAGTGACAACCGACTCGCATCGACGTTTTCTCAAAACAAAGAATGTCAGCGGTTCTGATCCTTTGACAAAAATAATAGATGTCCATTAGCAAGCGTCCCAGCCCATAGGGAAGCGTCTATAAAGACCCCCCCCCCGTCATTGGCTTGCATAACGAGCACTTAGATCCTGTTTTGTTTTTACTCATGTAAATGTCAAAATCCCCGCCGTGCCCCTTCAGGCACCCGGCATGCTCACAGGGAGCCAGTCAGAGGTGCAAATCGGCTCTAATCACAACTGCAGCAACTACCATGTTTTCAGAAGGGGGGGTGGAGAACACCCCTCCGACTCCACAGTTTCTACCGCATTTAAATAAGCGAAACCACGCCGGATACTTCCCCAAACTTTGCCAGTCGCATTTCGTGCGGGCGATATTTGGTTAAATGGTGACGATGATGATGCTGCAGGTTGGCCTGTAACCTTTGGACGTTGCTTGTTGGCTTTTCTCCCTCCTACTCATTTTCGTCGCACCATTTCTCACGTGAGAAGGTTATTGAATTCCCCTTCGAAGAAAGCGGCAGAAGAAGCTCCTTTTTATGTGGTTGTTTGTGATGCGGCAGTCGATGACGTCTGTCTCCCGTCTTCCCCCACAGCTCAATATTTGGCGCTACGGAGACTTCCGTGCAGACGACGCCGACGAGTTTGGCTACAGGCGTTAAAAAGGGGAGAGAGAAAAAAAAAAAACGACGCCGACCATCCGATCAACACCATTCCAAAGACCAGCGTGGACGGCGCCTGACGCATCGGACAGAAGACAGATGACGGGGAAAAAAAACTAAAAACGAAACGACAAGCATCGACTCAATCCTCCTCTTTATTCGACATTTCATCCCTCCAGTTCAGACTTCTTTTCTGCTCCTCCCTCCCACCCCCTAAATAGCATGCTACATGCTAGCAGTGCTAAACGGACCCCTAGTCATGCAAGAATCACTTCCCATTCATCCTTAGTTCTTCCCAACGGTCCACTGCCAGCTGAAGCATTCTGCACTATTGCCAATCTGTGTTATTTGTCATGTTACCTTTTCAGCGGACTTCCTGTGTGAATTATTCCCGCTTACTTCTGTAGAGGAAGGGACTGCTTGGGGGGGGGGACACCTGACTTTTGCAAATAAATGCTTCCCTAATGAATTTCATGTAAATGTGAGGATATGTTGAAAAGTGTAAATGGGTTTATTTTGGAGAGATGCTGCAGGTGATTCCACACAGACAAAAAAAAGGATTATTTTTGTCTTCAGCGTGTATCTGTGTGATGCCAGTTGCAGATGTTTTTTTTGCGGGGAGTGTTTTGTCGTTTATTCACACTTATGACCAGTAAAAGCCGATTTCATCTTTCTTCTTCTGTAAAGTTTACATTCTAATAATGGTTATGATCGTGTCCTGGGCAGCCTCTCTTTCTGTCTCCGAATGCCACAGCAGATACCGTGTTTCAATTTGTTTCCACATTATGAACCTCTGCATTCTATTGAAAATCTGCTAAATAAAAATAAGCAAACCTGAAGAATTGTGGTGTTCTTTTTAATCATTTTTTCCAATGAATAGTTAATAGATTTTATTTGTGCCATAATACAAAAGCATCTAGCTGCATATAACTCCTGATAGTTATTTCTGAGTAATTCTTTGCCGGGATTCTGAGACTCGTTTCCTGCCCCTTCTACTTTCTTCACTATTGCGCAAAACATGTTTTGATATAATTTAAACATCGAAAAGAACTGACAGCAGAACTAAAACACAAACTGCCTCTTCGCCGATACAATCAAGCGTGGAATAACTGAACTCGCTGCGGGAACAGGTGCACCTCTTAACTCCCAGCGTACGACAGCTCGGCGGCAGGAACACGCGCCTCAGGAACACTAATCAGTGCCGGAGCTCACAAACCGCTAAGCGCTCCACTTTGCACACTCGTCACTAAAGGAAACTTTTCAACAAACCATTCCAAGATACTTTAAGGTGCTTATAAGGTACTCTCTGCTTTTTGTGGAATACAATTTTCTTTTAACATTTATAATTGAAAAAATTACGCTGGAGACGTTGAAGCATCCACAGTAACGTCTCAAATACTGTGGAACCAAACTGCCTCACAATGTTACTACAAAGTTAGCACGTGATGTACCATCTAAAATACCAACAATCGCTCATTGTTCTCAAAGTAACGTATAACTATGTTCATTTTAAGATATAAATGAAGGAAATAAGGTCTCGGCCTCTAATAAGCAGCTGGAAGCAAAGTGCTAAATGTGTTACGACACAAAACAAACACTAACCCTTCAGGCCGAAGGTGTTTACCTACAGAAGACCACAGACCTGCGATTCAAAAAGCAAATGTTTAGGTTGCAGCAGGAGAAATCTAATCAAAGCTTGCTTTTTCCTTTTGGTCTGAATTTAATATAAAAAAGCAACTTGTGGTGTGAACAAACAAAGGCCCACTTGGTTGTTCTGGCACTAAAGGAGTGACCACTGAAATGAAATCTTCCGCCAGAAATTAAAAATGTAATTTTAAATACAGAGCCTCTGCCTCACAGACACGTTTTTCAATTACACATGACGGGAGTTTATTTGTGCCATCACGCGCAGCGCTCTGGGTTCTCCATTAACACAGTGGGAACTAAATGCCGGGATTACTATTCATGACTGCGTTTGTCCAGACAAAAGTTTGGTGTACTCACTCATTTCAAAGAGAAAGTGTTTTCTACCTTTTTGCTTTGTTGCTTTCCCGCTCTAAGCCGATGAAATAGCCACTCGCGCTCGTTACAAAAGAGGCAGAGTGAAGGAAAAGAAAGGACGTGGGAGACGTGGAAGGCCGTCGCTGAGCTTTCTGGTTCCGTTTGTCAGCCCGTCAGCGGCGAAGCAATGGCCGCCAGACGCAGATTACAAAGAGCCGCTGGCAGCAAACCGTTATTATTTGATGCCACCGGCAACCAAATAAAAAAATCTGTCAACAATTAAAGCACTAAGTGTTACCGTGTTAGACTTTATGAGACGTCAGACAGGTCCTTTTTCTTTCCCCAATTTGTCAAAGTGTGCTTGTCTGTGATCTATCCGTGTTTACGTGCTGCAGCTGCAGCTGCACATTTGCTGCAAACAAGAAACAAACGAAACATCCATCTGAATCATTAACACACCCGGGGAGAGGAGAGCGCCTTTAAGCACGTCTGGGGGGTTAAAATGTGCGGTGGACAAAGATAATTTTATTCCATTCAGAATGTCAATCTGCTCTGCTGAATTGTTTATTGTTCATGGAACTAAATTTGAAGCCGTCTGCTGGAAGAAAAGAAAAAACGAGCTGAGTCCCGTCGTCATTATTTCAGGGAAAGGCATCCTGTCCGTCTGCCTGTAGACGAACTCCGACCTCTGAATTACCAATGAAATATAAAGCAGTCGTACACATGCTTCTGGTTGGTAAAACAAGAGCTGTGTACATGCATACTAATCAATACATCCTAATGTTTATTATACGATACGTCCTAATCTTCGCAGTCAGTGCACAAGAAGCAAACATGTGTCTGTTTTTCGAATTATCTTATTTGATACGAACGAAACTTCCATTGTGAGAGTTTTGTCAGGTTTTCCTCGAGCTGTTTCACCACCAACCAGCCACAGTTAGTCTGATTCCGTTTCAGCAGTGAGCAGCTACTAAATACTGTTACTGCATTGCATTGTGGGAGAAATTGGCCCATCACAACTAAAAAAAACTCAACTGAAATGTGAACAAACTGCATCCTCTAAACCGAGCGGCGTGAACGCATTTATTTGTGGTACCACGATGTCGCGTTTTGGAATATTTATCTCCCTGCCAGAAATGACCTCTAACGCCAGCGGGTCCTGGAATAAAGTGGCACATTTATCGAGTGGTGAAGTCAATCCACAAACCCAGTGAAAAGGAACCCGAGGAGGCAACGAAACCACTCCAACAGTCGAGGTTCGGCCTGAAAGCTGCTCAGCAGATGCATCAGTTGTAGCTACCAAGACAATTTGTAGACAACCTGATGATCAGCAGTTAAACACGGCCATTTGTTTCACAGTTTATCCGTCTGATTTAGTAGTCGGGTTGCAAGCTGCTGCTGCTGCTGCTCAACTTCAACAAAACACGTCTTTTTGGGCGCCGCCGTGTTGTGATCATTAGTTGATCTGCGTGACGCCAACTAAGAAAAAGCTTCCGCGTGGCTTTTAATACGGTTTTAAAAGGATCGTGCATTTAATTGTAAGTATTGCTCAGCGCAGTGGAAAACAACACGCACGTGTGTGGTCATTCTCACGCGTGAAGGCTTTTGGAATTGGATTTCTTTTTGCTATTGTGGATTTTTACCTTGAAGTGCCTCTTTGTATTAAATTGCTTTTTGACTCGCAACTATTTAGCCGTTCTAGTGACGTCTGTGTAAATGTACCTTTCGTTTTTGTCCTGAGAAAAGAGTTTTTTCTTTAAGGGCAATTTATGGGACTTAGAACTTTAAAAGCGACGTTTTCATTGGTGTTTTAATCACCTGAGGCTAAAGGTCACCGTTTGTTGTTGGCCCGCGTGTCTGCTGTGGGAAGCTTCCCCGTCACTTTGTCGCACTTCCTCTGCAGCTCTAAAGAACTACGAGTTCCTCTAGTTGGTATTCTGTGAGTCGGAGGGCCGGATGGCTCCAAAAGGGAAAGTTCTCACTAATCCTTTTCATTAAATAATGTAAATATTAGATTCTAGCTGGTGATACCCCCAAAGTGTTTGCCTTTCCCAGTCTTACCAGTATATTTCCAGTGAGCCGTTCAAACCCACAGTGTTATTAAAGCAGAAGGTCCTCGATTTGGCCCCTGGGACTCACGTCCACTGTTAATGCTCCCAGTGGGTTTGTCCCTCGCCTTATCGTCCATCATATTTAAATAGATCCATCCCTGGCAGTGGTCCTAACTGCTCCTTGAAGTGGATCTGTTAACGTGACACTCGTTATTCCATTATAATGTTAATGTGCTCTTTCAAATACACAACGGAGGGAGGGAGAAGCTGGTTAAGCCTTAAAATAATCCCTCAGAACACTGCGCAATAACAACTCACTTGAAGAATTCCTACCAAGACGCGAGCCAGAAGCCAAGTATAATTAGGTAGACGTTGCCCACAATATATAGATTTATGTGTAATTCTTCTCAGTTTTCAGTGTAATCCTGCTTCTTAACATTTCCGCGCCCCAGGCTGTTTGTTTCTTTGAGCTCCTCTTACAACTGCATTCCCTTGTAGGTCCCAGATGGCGACGGAGTTATTGTTAGTGGGCAAAGGAGCGGAGATCTGATCCTGCAGTCAGTTTTAATTGAGGCCTTTTAGCTTAATCACGAGGCAAAATATAGGATTCGTCTCGAGGATCATCCAAACTTAATGCGACCAGTGAAATGGTGTTTGTCAAACCAATCAGTCTGTTTCTTCTTGTAAGGTTTACAAAAGAGGGCATTTGTTTGGATGATACTGGAAATGCAGTTTGAAGACTTTTCAAAGTGCAGCCGACTATTCTGTCCTCAAAGGACGCAGCAGCAAAGGAAAAATGAATACGATTCTGCTTGGAGAAGGAACATGAAATAGAGAAATAGAGAAGGAGCTGCGGTAGTAAAAAGAACGGTATCACGGTTCTGTGATTGAAAGACAGACGCTGAGGCTGATGTCACATGATGTGTGTGTAACTTTTGTGCTTTGTCACCAGTGTGTGTTCAGTTCTTTGAGGCAGCATTCCAATATTAAGTTATCAGACATGCGAATGCATCTTGTTACCAAACATCACAACCAACATGATACTTAATAGTGAGACTGAGCCAGTTTACAAACCATTTACTGACACTTTAATAGAAGGTTCACGCCAACCACAATAAATCATTAATGTCTCGAGTCAAGCAGTCAACAATACGGAGTTTAAAAATGTTAAATGTAAGTAAAAGTATGATCTCTAGTTATTAGTAAGTTCTATTTGAATCCACCAACACTAGCAACCAGCTAGCACAATTTATGAAACCAATCGAGTTTAATGAAATCTTAAAAGATCCTCTTCATTAGACAACAGCTCTTTTATTAAATGATATATCGACAGGCTGTTTTGCAGTATTTCTTTTATAATATATTCCAATAAAAAAAGTTTCAACTTGGAAGTAAGGTACCAAATTACTTGCTGGGCATTAAAAACATTTGTTCGTATACTACATTTGGTTGTATATTCATACATCAAAGGGACTGAAAAAAGGAAGAAATAAGAAGAAAAAGGTAAAAATAGAGTCATGGTTTGACAACATTAGAAATAAAAACTATTTTAAACTCACTATACTTGTGAAATTCAAAGACTCGCTCAACGACATTTATTACTTTTCCTCCCACTTTTTGTCAGCGCCAAGGAAACGATTCAATCATTTTTCTGAGCTTTTGCTCTAAAGCCCTTATTTTTCTCAGGATCCTTTGTGAAACTTTTGAATACTGTTCATTGTTGTTGAAGGAGCTAATTCAGAGCTCATTTCAACTTTACATCTTTAATACAGCGTCTACTCAGCTTC